GTCTCGTTTTGAAAATATTACAACTTTTGTAGGTGATTCTGTGTGCTAACTACTAACCTGAATAAACATAGCTAGTAGCTAGCTGATACGGTCGGGATGATTTACTGTAGCTATTGACAATTTGGTCACATTAGTTCGAGATGTAAATGTTAAGCTGCAGCTGGAGATTGTGATGGAGATTTGTTTAAGAATATAGTGAACATTCGTAGTTTTTGTGTAACTAAATTCTCTATATGTAATGCATAGCAATGGGAAAACATATGCCTAAGCTTAGACACAACTCCCATTAAGCGTATATAAAATTTCACCAGTAGAAAAGCAGCCTTTTCAAATAAAACACGTGTCTAAAACATCGCTTTAAATAAACATTCATGTCATTTAAAGTAATTATTCTATGAATGTGTGTAACAAAATTAAATATTATGTGTATTGATAATTTTTTACTCCTTCTCTTCATACATAATATAGGGATTGGCTCCCTACAGACATCTATTGTATAGTGTATAGCATTGCGTATCTAAATGTTACAGTCATCTAATATTCATCTATTATTGGCTAGTAATTATTGTTTCACCATGTACTTAAGCTTTTTAAAGAAACGCCGGGTATTTGTAAAAAAAGCTAACTTCAAGGGGTAATGACAACCTCATTTACACTAGAATTATGATGTTTTTTAGCTTATGTAAAATATAAAAAAAAAAAAAAAAAAACAAATCGACTTCTCAATACCTCTACGACCTTCGCAGTGTCCTATTTAGTATTCTACAGAAGGTTTGGGTGCATTATACCAAGCCGTTTTTGTTATAGACTGGCAAAAGAATAATACGAAGAAGAATTACAAACGGACTGTTTTGAGCGCATTTTCTTTTTTCTTGTAAGTCTCACATGCACAAGTCTTGTGTGCATTTTTATATCTGTATAGCCTCAGCAGTCAGTAGTAAAGGTTTTAAAGTGCTTTATTGTTTAAGGTGCTTTTTGCCCGAACGTTCTATTAGAGTTTTGTGCAATTCTTTGCGTTCCCTATTATGAACCACAGTCGTGGTTCATACTAATGTATAAAAGTGGGTTATCTGCGCTAGTTCAGCTTAATTTTCATGTGATATGCTAGAGGGAAAGCAGCTAGTCAAGACCATCCATCGCCAACACCTGAGCTACTCTTTTATTGACAAAAATGGGACTATACATTACAACGCCCACACAGCAGGAAGGAAGAGCAGGTTACGAGTTGAGCGCCCGAATCACCAGGAAATGCCGTTGAAACGAAGAAAAAATAATTAAATTGCGAATAGATAGCCGTGCAAAATATGTTTTATATACACAAATTTTAGATTCGAAAAATGTTAATGGATTTCAAACGCATTCAGCATTCTTTGTTTTATTATAAACAATAAAATGCAAGCCAAAAATAAACAAAACGTAAATCTATGTAAACTTAAAATAATTATAAATTTTATTATATTATTTGCTTCTTGTTGAGCAGAAAGCTGTGCAATGGGCTATTTGTATAGTGTCAAATGCAGGTATCGAAATCTGGTTTTTAGTGTTATAAGTCTGCAGACTTACTGCTGTACCACTGGGAGGACGATATCTGAAGAAACATATTTATGGCATTCATCTCCTAAGATTAATCCAAGACATATATATTTTCAATGACCCAATAATTCATTATGTCCTAGAACCTTGGAGTTTAGTGCAATTGAATGATGTGTTTCTTTGTGAATGTAACAGTCTCGAAATCCAGAACCGGAATTATGGCAAGACGAGTAAGGCAACTCGCTAGGAACCTATAGAGGACTTGCATATATATATATATATATTAGTTTTTATGAGTGATTCTTAAAGACGAAACTGCAAACATATGTGGTTGCTTCATTAACGAACATACCACGCCATTTTGTTGTATAGTTTCCGTCATTAAAAGTAATTACATGCATCAATGAACTCGTTTCAAAATGCGATATGCATAGATGTTTGATTTTGTTATATATGATGTATGGCCGTAGCCAATATAAATAAATAATAATATTAATTGTCTACGTTTGTGTCTTCCCTTGAAATTCGAAAGAAATGTGAGGTGGCGAATTCACTTTTTCAACAAATGAAAAGTTTTTGTATACGGAACACTGCCCCATTCTTCTTTTTATATTAGCCAGTATAAATATGTGCATTGAGTAGGTTTGTTAATATGAAAAAAAAGCTATCATTATTTTGTTCACATGTTTTTACTGCCAAATACATGCTATGGCTAAGGCCGATACTGTATATATATCAGTGTTTTATTTTTTATTGTTTTCATATTGTTACGTCTCCGTTTGTTAATTGATTTTCCGTAACTTCGTTCCGACGAAACTTAAGCGACACAAGTCCT